TAGATTACATGTTTTCACTTTCTACCGCAAGAATGACATTTCCCAAAGAAGTGACATTTAATCTGTAAGCTCCCTAAGTTTTTGATGAACTTCTATATATCTGTTTCATGTTGAAAAATAAGGTGGAAAAAAAAAAAACATAGGAGAATAATAAGAATTTTACACAATGACAATCTACCAAAGAAGGGTCAGCCCACATTAGGGGGGATAGAACTTGTAAGGAATCATTGGAAGTAAGTTCACAAAGTAAGTTGCTGTGCAAAAAGAAAAGGATTTAAAATCCCAAACTCCTGGAAAGAGGAATGCTCAAAATATATGCACAACCATCTTACCCTCAGAGTTTAGGTTTTGCTGTATAGCCCGCGGTTAATGGCATCGGGAAGGAAAATGTTTTTCCCTGGGTGACCCCGGGCGAGGCGGGCACCGGCGGGAGCGGCGGCCCCATCAACCCCGCCTCGCTGCCTCCTGGCGACCCGCAGCTCATCGCGCTCATCGTGGAGCAGCTCAAGAGCCGGGGGCTGTTTGACAGCTTCCGTCGGGACTGCCTGGCCGACGTGGACACCAAGGTAGCCGCGGCCGCCCGGGCCCAGGGGAGCGGGGCTGGGCGTGGGGCGCCGAGGTGGCAGCTTTGATTTCCCAAAGCCCCAGAGCAAAACAAAGGATGGGTTTAAAATCTCGGCAGCGAGGTGTCCCGCCGCTGGGGGCAGTACTGAGAGCCTGAGCGGTGCCCACGTGGGCTCCCTGCCCGGCCACTTGGCCCGCTGGGGTTTTAGCCCGGTCGCTTCTGCGAACTGGGGAGTTCCAGGCGGATTTTAGGGCCCAGACCCTGTCTTTCCCAAGTAGGAACTGTTTTAAGCCCCCCAATAACAAGCGAACCTCAGTATGTTAAGAACAGTGGAGAAAACCTCGTAGGTAAGCAAGAAGGCTTCAGAGTTTCCACCCTTTCCCTATTCACTAAGGAGCGACCGTAAGCAGCGTATGATAGCTGCGTGCTCTATTGTTCCTGCCTTTTCTCTAGCTCAGTGGTTTGCAGACCTTAGTAGCAGTTGAATTAAGGTAAGTTGTAGAAACAGCACTCATTTTGTACTCCGTCATGGGTTAAAGGGGATTTGGTGCCTAATCGATCCTGATGCCATAAGCCAGATCCCCCCAGAAAAACGCTATTTCACCTTATCTACGTGTTGTGGCTGCTCGGGTTCAAAGAAGTAACGTGTGTTAAGTGTCAGACACGCAGTAGTTGCTGAATTGTTCATTTTCTCCCTCTTCAGAACTTCTCGAATGAGACTTTGGTTGTAGGGTTAGGAGACTCTGATGCGGCTCCTCCAGAATAGTGATTTCTCCTCCCTTCCTCTTATGGAAATCTTGTGCTTACCTCACAAACAAGACCGTGATCTTAAATTAGACCTTAGGATAGAGTAAGACCTGTCTTCTTTATTCATTGAACATTTATTGGCCTATAATTGCTAGACAGTCACTATCCCATCCTCGAAGCTTATGCTCTGGAAGTGAACCCTGAGTGGGCAACCAGGCAGTGTACATGTGTATCCATAGTAAGTAGTGTAACTATTTCACTCTTCCAAGAGAAAAACCCAGGTAGAAGGGCTGTTCTAGAAACAAAGTGTTTAATTTTCTTAAATACTTAAGGGTCCCAGTAGGTATTGACAGAGCTTTCTCCCTTCCCAGAACAAGTTCTCCACTCACATCATGTTCCGTTAGGTTTTATGTGGCTTGAACAATGTACACCTGTGATTTTAAAACAAAAACAAAAAATGCCTAGTGCCACCTCCTCCATGGTTTACTTTCCACCGCTTCAGTACTGTCGCAGTATTGAAGTGCTTGTGCTCGGGTAATTCTTATTTGACTTCACAATGGCCCCAAAGCAAAAGAATAATGATGCTGGCAATTTGGATATACCCAACAGAAGCCATAAAGTGCTTCCGGTAAGTAAAAAGGTAAAAATTATCAGCTTAATAAGGAAAAAATAAATCATCTTTTGAGGTCACTAGTGTCTACAGTAAGAACAGCTCCTCTGTGAAACTGAAAAAAGAAAAAGAATCGTTTGTGTGTTGTATGTAGGGTTTGGTACCGTCTGGTTTCAGGTATTCACTAGGGGTCTTGGAACATTCCCCCAAGGATGAGGGGCGACTACTACACTGAGAATCTGTTGAGGAGGGCTGTTGGAGCCCTCCCCCACAGAGAGCTCCCCAGCTGTCCCTTCTGTTACCAGGTCGTTTTCACTCTTAAAGGTAGTGTTTTCCAGCATATCTTATCTGAGACAGCGATTGCTTTAGCCCAGTGGTTCTCAATGTGGTCTTTGGATTAGCAACATCAGCACCACCTGAGAACTTGTTAGAAGTGCACATTCCTGGGCCCTCTCCTAGAAAATTTAGGGAAAATCAGACAAATGGTGTCTGTAATTTACCTTGCAATGCATTCAAAAGCAAGTTAATAGAACAAACTGATAGGTGAAAAGACGGAGAGGTAGGTAGTACACTAAAACGTTGAGGGTGGGCACATTAGGGCCTTTGACTTCTTGAACCAGAGGAATTATTCTGTATCGCCTGGGCTTGTTACTGTTTGCTGGTAACGCTCATTGGCCTTTGTCCTTTTTTCAGTGAACAGTTTCTATCATCTCAAACCAGGTGGATTATTTTGAGTAGAAGATATAGTATCAGGGTTCATGGTTACAAGTGACATCTAATTCTAACTGCTGTACGTGAAGGGGGGAATCTGTTGCCCCTTGGCCTCCAAAGTAGGATTGAATAAGCAAACTGTGCCAAGGAGAGTAGGGATGCTTTGGGACTCCATATTCCCCACTGGTGCTGTGTCTTTCATCTCTGTGGTTCATGTCTGTTTTACTGTCAGAGTAGAGTTGTCCGTCTGGCTACTAGCAAATCTTGATTGCATTTCACAGCTGCTTCTTCTAGAACGAGACTATTAGCTCCAGTTCAGACTATCTCAGGGATTTGTCCCAACATGGCTCAGGCCCCCAACCTTGTGGGCAGAAGGTGGCACCCTCTCCCCTACTCTTGTGAAGAGGGGAAACAGTTGCTAGGCAGATAATACATGGTGTCGGTGGCTTGTACTCCACCCACCTCCCTGCCTTCCTCTCTCCAGGTTGATGGAGGCTTCTATGTTGGAGTCTACTCTCACCCTTTGGGCAGAGTCACTCGTGGAATCAAGGCCTGTTTCATTTGTCAACTGCATATCCCTGACTCTTAGCAAACTTTGCCACAATACTGCATAACAAACCGATCTCAGTGGCTAATAATGAGCATTTGTTCTCATTCTGATGGACCCGTGGGTCAACCAGAGTTCAGCTGATCTAGATAGGCCTCAGCTGGGCAGCTTGGCTGCAAGCTGCCTGGGCTTGGGTCCAGGCTGTGGGTTGTTGTTAGGCCTGTTGCACATATGCCCGGCCTAGGCCATGGGGCAGAAGCTATCCGCAACATGCCCTTATAGAAGAGCACGAGAGCCAAACTTGATAGCACAGCCACATAGCAAATTTCATTGCTCATCTTGGCATTGCTGGGTGGGGGCATCTTTGTTGCCCACAGGGGGAGGGCGAGAAGTGAGTGTTGAGCAGCAGTCCACACGATCACATCTGCTCTGGAGAAGGGCACCTGATGGCGTCCCAAGGTCTTGGAGGCTCAGAACATGTGTGCTCTGTGCTCCCCAGGTTCCTTCCTCATTTTGTTCTCCTCTTGTGCTGGGTCTGGACCATTGAGACCAAAAGTACCTCTCAAGCTCTCTTGGACCTATGCATTGCTTTCCCTTAGCCTTTCAAGTGCCCACAGACTTTGACTCCATCCTTGAGTCGAACTGAGGTTTGGGTGACCCTCAAGTTTATGCAGACTTCTCTGAGCTCTTGTTCGTTGCTGAGAGCACCCCAATGAGGTCAGCCAAGCAGTTACACCTCAGTTCTATAGATGGAAATAGACTCGGGGCTTGGGTGGCTTGTTGAATGTCAGCTCGTTGGGGGTGGAGCGGGGCTGGAAGCCGGCTCCTTTCCCTGGGAGACAGCCTAGGTCTAACCCCGTATTGTGCCATGTTTTGGTCGTGTGGGCAAGTTGTTTACTTTTTTTAAGCCGAACGTTCTGATCTCTAAGATGGGGGCTGGAGAGTATGAGTAGGACCTCCCTCCTAGAGTTACTTGGAAGTAAATGGAACCAAATAAGTAAAGCCTTTTTTCCTTCACCGTAAAGTGACACTCGTGTTAGCCATTAACTCTCGGCTGCCATGCTGCTGCATGGCAATCGCCATCATCACAGTGGAAGCAAGTTTAGCCTTGCGAATACACGTTGTTATGAGAAGCAGTGTTCTGAATGACTGTTTCAAAACTTCGGTGCGTGTAACTTCTGATCTTGCCTCCTCTTTTTAATATTTTAGCCAGCTTACCAAAATCTGAGGCAGAAAGTGGATAATTTTGTGTCAACACATCTGGACAAGCAGGAATGGAATCCGACGATGAACAAAAACCAGTTGCGAAATGGTCTGAGGCAAAGTGTGGTTCAGTAAGTAAGCAGAATGTACAGCTTTTGAAAAGGCCATCAGCACAAGGTCAGTGCACAGGAAGGCTGCCCTATCACTGTTTGGTCAAGGGTAGCAGTCCCTTCTGTGAGGTATCACTGCGGAGTTGCAGCAGTATCTCCTTGACTAATACTGAGGTTGGAGTAAGCAAAGCATTTAGTTGAAATCCTGTCCTGTCCCGCCCATGCAGGCCTCCTGGGTGCCCTTCCCACTGGGTGCCTCGCAGGGTGTTCCAGTCCAGAAATGTGCTCCCCACCTTTTGAAGTTTTTGAACGTCCATGTGAGTTTTGTACCAAGATATCAGTATTTGAATCTGGCAAAAGGAGCTGGGTCTTTATTCTCACAAGTAAATGTGAGTTAAATAAACTCTTGGAGTCCACCACGGCCACCACCTCTCAAGTGTAGTCACATCTTGTGGGTAGGCATAGTCTTACTAAAGTATCCTTCATAGTAGCAAACTGAACTTGGTTAATGAAGGTGCTGTTGATAGCTTATCTGAGTGACTCCAGCGTCACTAGGCACAATAGTGGAGGTGGAATTAATAACCTTCACTTAAGCATACTTTTTAAAAAATCCATAGTGGGCCAGGCATGGTGGCTCACTCTAATTCTAGCACTTTGGGTGGCCGAGGCAGGAGGATCGCTTGAGGCCAGGAGTTTGAGACCATACTTGACAACGTGGTGAGACCTTATCTCTACAAATAATCAAAAAATTAGCTGGGTGTGGTGGAGCATGCCTGTAGTCTCAGCTACTTGGGAGGCTGAGACAGGAAGGATAGCCTGTACCCAAGAGGTCAAGGCTACGGTGAACCATGGTTATGCTACTGTACTCCAGCCTGGGCAACAGAGTGAGACCCCAACTAAAAAAAAAAAAAAAAAATTCCACAACAGATACTTGCAGTTCAAAAGAAAGAAAAGGGACACAATGTTCACGCTCTCATCCTTTCTCTCTGTCCTTCCCTATTTACTCCTCATCTCCACATTGGCCAGAGGGAGCCTCCATTTGCAGTGTGACTTGAGTGCCTCCCATTTTTTTTGTGCACACGGACATTTCCGTATGTCACTTGAAAACAAAAATTAGATGATACTGTGGATACCCTTGCACATGTTGCTTTTCCAGCGGGTCTGATGGGCCATCTTTCCCTGTCCATGAGTAGATACCATCATTCATGAACTGGCAGTTACAGAGATGGAGAGCAGAGTAGTGATTGCCTGGGATTCAGGAAGGCGGGGGGTGGTTGTGACTTGACAGTGGTAGCACAAGGGAGCTGTGCAGGGAAGTGTCTTTACTGTGGTGCTTACATAAGACAACTTGTGATAAAGTTGCGCAGAACTACAAACACAAGTGAGTGCAGGTGCAAATCTAGCTAAGGGCTGGATTGTGCCATGCCATCTTCCTGGTTTGCGATGTCACTGTAGTCATGCAAGGTGCTGACATTGGAGTAGCTGAGTGAGGGTGCATGTTTCTCCCTGTATCCTTGTCTGCAACTTCCTGTGAATCTGTGATGATTTCAGACTTAAAAGTTTAGAAAAGTAGAAGAAGATTTTTACAAACAAACTAGCACTTGCAGCATGGCCAAGTGTTAGGAAAGAAACTTGATGTCAGAGACACCCAGTGCCTTGTCATCCTTGGGCCATCACCCGGTAGCTCTTCCTTTCTGTAGGGAGCAGACTGGCAGCACAGGGACCTTTCACAAGGAGCAGCAGCTGCCCCTTACTGAGTAATGATTATTACGTGTCTGTTGCTGGTCCTTCTGTATGTTCTCACCCATCTTCACAAAAAGCCCCTTTTCCAGCTGAAGTCACCAATCAGACAAGCTTGTGGTTATTCTGCCTTCTAAAGGATGGCCAGCATATTAGGAGAGTACATCAAAGCACTGAATCTTTCGAAATGCTTGGAAAGCCGCCATCGTGTGTGAAGGCTGTTACCATTGCTGTTAGTTTCCATGATGAACATGGATGCCATTCTTGAGGTAATGCATGTAGCACCACTTCTTGCATACCTTTGGAGATTTGAAAAAAGTGGACAGAACAAAAGTTCAGTGTAACAGATGATGGGGCTGTCCGTTGAGCACTGCCCAAGCTGAGAAATAGAGCATCACCAGCACCCTCCATCCCCCATATCTACCCCTTCAGAAGTTTACCATACTCCTAACCTTTGCTAATAATTTCTTTGCTTTTCTTCATAATTTTACCACCTGTGAATTTTTTCCTGCTTTTTAATTTGACTTAGAATATATTTATTCTGAAAACACAAATTTGACTTTAACGCAGGGACATTTCTTCATGAGTCTTGCTAACATTTTGAACTTGAGGCACGCTCTCCTGGTGTTTTGGAGTGAAGCCCTGCACTTGCCTCAGGAAGCTCTCCCAGATGAGATGCCACTGGCCTGGCTGCTGAGGTCCAGATGCCATAACCCAGTGCTGCAGCCTGAAGGGAACACCAGGTGCTACTGGTGAACACACTATGACTAATAAGTCTTTTCACTACTTACTGTTTGTTCATTTCAGCTTTTATAGGCTTTTGACAAGATTTCACGGTTCCCTCAAATGCTTTTCAAATCCCCAGGAAAGTGAGCTCCTCCTTCTTGGTGCTTTTGTTTTCCCTGGTCAGGTGTCTTGATGATCTGGAGCTCCTTTAACAGAGTTCCATGATCTAGGTGGTGTATGAACAACAGAAATCTACTCCTCACATTCCGGAAGCTGGGAGTCAAGACTAGGGTGCCAGCAAGGTCAGGTTCAGCTGAAGGCCCTCTCCCTGGCTGCAGACTGCCAGCTACTTACTCTTCTCACATGGTGGAAAGAGAGCTGGCCACCTTTTCGGGGTCCCTTTTATGAGGGCATGATTCCATTCCCGAAGGCCCTGCCCCATGACCGAATTATCTCCCAAAGGCCCTACCTCCAGATTTCATCACTCTGAGGATTAGATTTCAACGTAAGAATTTGGAGGGGAGCACAAACAGTCCATTGGCTTTTATGTCCAGTGAAGACAACTGACTCAGGAAGTGGCTTGTGACTAAGGAGAGATGGTATCGCTTGCTTCATAACTGACCATAGCCTGGTGCTGGCCTTGCTGTGTTTCACTATATTCATGTCCAAGGGCAGATGCTGTCTAAGGCGTGGGCCACCTGACAGTGTCTTCAGTGCTTTAAGGGTGGTGTGTTTACATCCAGGTTTCCTGTCAAGGAGTTATTAGTTTCCATTGAATCCAGGAGGCACCTCACACAGCAGTCAGCTTCCCCAGCTCCCACCTGTTTCTCGTCTTGTACTATGCATTTTTGCCCTTTGCTTTGCTGTTTGACAGACTATTGCCCAGTTACTGCCCACCCAGTTTTTACCCCAGCAGAGACTTAAATGGCCTGAGAATCCCAAGTCTAAAAGAAAAGTAAGGAAAACCTACCCACGTACTTGTGATGATATTTGAATATTTGAATCCTTTGAGGACACCAGTTTGAACCTGTATGGGCTGTTTTTCAAACTCTTCAGTTAGAATTTGTCTCCTGTCACCATAATCCTCCTCATTACCCTGCTCCAGGTGTTTGATACAGACATTGATAGATGCTGACTGACTTTTGCTCTTTTCAAAAAGGGTTTGGAGGTATAGTTTAACCCTGTAGGAGCTTAGAAACAGTTTGTTTCTTGTCTGTTTTCTTGTTTGCTTCAAAATTGCTTGTTATGTATTATGGGTGACAGCCACAGTTGACAGCCGTGTTGAATTGCTGGTGATGTGATCATTCTCAGTCCTGACTGGTTGACCTTGTGTAAAATGTCTGAGGATTAGTAACCAGACTATGCTGGAGACTGCTTCTGCTCTGGCTGTTAGAATACATGTTGAAGGAAGTGGAGTTAAAGTCAAGACTCGCTGGCTTCGACGGTATGATTTAGGATTTTAGCTACACATGAATCATCAGGTCCTTTCTCGCCATGTTGTCACTTGTTCTTTGTTTTTGGGGCAGTCTGCTTAGTTTTGTTAGGTTCCTTTGTACAAAGTTGGGTGGTAGTGGGTTAGGAGTGACAGATAGCTACGGGTTGTGAGTTTCCCTCCAAAGTGAAAATAGAAGAGCTTGAACTCTGTGTGCTAAGTGGATTGCCCTCTGAAAGAACTCCCTGGAAGGGCTGCAGCTCTGACCAATGGGACATTTTGGGGGCTCCCACATGACACATGTTGGGGTTTAGGATGAATCCCAAAGGAACCGCATAAGAGAATGGTCTTCTTGTCTCCGCAGGTCAGGGATGTTGGAGGCGGGAGTTGACAGGATCATTTCTCAGGTGGTAGATCCAAAGCTCAACCACATCTTCAGGCCACAAATAGAACGAGCAATTCATGAGTTCCTGGCGGCCCAGAAAAAAGCAGCTGTGCCAGCACCGCCTCCAGAACCCGAAGGCCAGGACCTTCCAGCTTCATCCCAGGATGCTTCCTAAGGTCAGTGTCCTGTCTTTCATCCATTGCACTGTCTCTGGTAGACATTGAAAATGGATAGGAAAGGGGCCAGCCACAATCAGAGTTTATTCAGAAGGTATTTACTGCAGATGGACTTAACCTACTGTCGTGAGTCATTTCTCACTGAGAACCAATTAGCAGTGTTTTCCTGTGCCAGTGACTGTTTGATTTTCTGGCCACCAGAGCTAAACATGTACACTATGAATAGATGCTTCATTAGGGACCAACCGGGACGGTGGGTGTGTATAAGGGAGGCTCAGATGAAAGACTTGTTTTTCTGAAGTTGTTTTAATGAGTCTCCCCTGGACATGAGCTAACTTGGCTTTGAGATTTTCATGTGAGATCAAGCAGTGTATTCTGCAATGGCATCTTCAGTGGGACTCAGAGCAGTTCTGTGCAGCTGGGTTTCTGTGCATTTAGAAGCAGTTTGCTTACCACTATCAATTACCATGGGATTCTTCTGTTATGAACACTCCACTCCGCTTTTAATTAAATTTGGAATTAAATGTAATTTTAGAAAACAGCTGAAAGTCCACCAAAGAATACTTTTTGTGTGTTTGGGGGGCATGAGTTAGATGTGAGCCATGATGAAGTTAGCAGGGACTCTCACTTGGCCGTTGTTGGGGACATTGGACTTTGCCTTGTCCCTGCACTCTAAGATCCTCTAAGATGCTCTTTTGAATACATCAGGAAGTGGGACGACTTGACCTTGGAGCATTGCGAGCATCTGGAGTGTCAAATTGAGCGTGCCAGAGTCCTATGGGGTACTTGCCGAGTAGTGGGGAGGGCTTAGCAACCCTCTAACAGAGGGATGGGTTTTTGTGCCTCTATTGGGAGAAGACCTGGAGTCTGTTATAGAGTATGGAACATTCATTCTTCTAGTTTAGTTGTAAATTCCTCTAGGAACATAAAAATAAGTGAATATAGTCTCATATGCAAAAGTAGCATTTTGATGTTGATTCTGTTTTCTTTTTAGAATATGTCTGGCACCTTTTGAGAGCTCCATTTAATTAATGGTGAAGAAGAGGTTTGGTTACATAAGAGTTCAGCTTCAGAATGAAGATAGGCCAAGGTCATCACTGATTTCAGGATTTTAGCCTGACTATGGGCAGTGTCTGGATTGAACAGAAACAAGTCTGGAGTGGGGGAAGTTGACCGTGGTATCTCCAGTATAGGCTGCTGTTTGACCAGCCTATCCAAGGGTATGATACCCGTAAATACTACTGAGAGATAAAGAAACACTACAGCAACCTGGGCTTTTCCTAAAACAGATTCTTATACTTGAATATGAAGACTTTGTGTGGACTTCAGGATTTGTGCTGTGGGACAAGCAACAGCTGCAGTGAAAGAACGTGATCTGTCCCAAAGATTATTTCAGAGAACTATGGCAACAAAGGTTAGCTGGGAAGCAGGCATTTGGCAGAGCTTATTTGAGATGCTGTTTCTCAGAGATCCTACAATGTACAAGCCATCAGGATCAGCTGGTTTTAGGTGGTTGTGATCTTGGACATGCATCTTCTAGCCAGTTTCCTCTCCCTTGAAAGAGAAACAAAACACGAAATCCTAGTGTGAAGAAGCCAGACTTGAGTGTGAGGAAGGACATTTGCAGGTTCCCTATCCAGGTTCTTCTTGTCCTGCAGGGCTAGTGAGTCTCCGTGTGTTTATTTTATGTCCATGTTGGTGTTTTTTAGAAAAGTGAATGGTCAACAGATGGCTGACGTTTTATAATAAAATCATTTAATACTCTTACTCTGTTAGCCCCTAGATCTGTAGCGGATCCAATTCATGATCACGTGTTGAATTTAGCTATCACATGTCTTTGGTCTCCTTCAATCTGGAATCTTCTCTGGGGAATTTTTTAAGACTACAGGCCAAATCTTTTTTTGGTTATCCCTCAGAAGTGGGCTTGTCTGGCAATTCCTCCCAGTTTGATGCAGATTCTGCACCTCTGGCAGGAATGCCACAGAAGGGACATCACACTCTTCTTATTGTGTCCTGGCAGGCACATGAGTTCACTGTGTCCCTTAGCTGGTGAAGTGAACTTTGATCACTTGACTCAGGTAGTGTCTGCCCCGCAATGCTCTTGTCTTTTTGTAATTAGTATTGTGTGAGAAGGTGCTTTAAGACTTTGCAGATTTCTTGTTCCTCATCAGAGATTCATAGCCATGAGTGTTTCCTGGTTGGATAAAGTAGCACCGTGACAGTGGCCAAATGGTGATTTTTGAACTCCATCAAATTCCACCCCTGCCTGTCTCTAGGCCTGCCTGAGGCTTGTTCCTCATACGGCAGCTTAGACCATCTTGAACATACTCACCAAATTTGCTGGAAGTCCATGCAGCCATTTTCATGAGCTGTGGAAACTGAAAAACTTAGGTGTATTCCATAATGGCAATTTTCGAATTTTGTTATTCTGTCTACATTTATTAGTTGTCATCCTGTGTAAAAAAATGTGTCCCTCTTTATTTATTCTCCTACTTATTTCTGTCTAGGTGGACCCAAGGATTCTTATTTTATCCAATGGGTTCTAATATCTAGTGTTTCTTTGGACACCTAATTGTCCCAGGCTTGACCCATGGCGGCCCCTTCCTCCCAGCTGGCTTTTGTGTCATTTTACATTTCTGCATCTCTTTGAGCTCTTCTTTACTTCCAGTACAACAAGGGCTCCAGGCTCACCTTGCATGCCTCGTGCCCCATCCCTGGAATGTGACATTTCTCCAAGGAGCCTTGATTCCTGTGACTGGTGTTTAAAAATCAAATCTGGGGGCAGATTGCCACTGCCACAGGTCCTTGGGGTTCATCCTGATTGCTTTTGTTTCTCTAATCCTATTGCTTTTCCCCATTGTCTCATCCTCAGTGCATCTAGTTGGAACTGTCACCTCTGTACAAAACCAGTGTTTTGTCACCACCACCAGAAATCCGCAAAGGTGTCCATGGACACCCACCTTGCCAGCCCTACCTGGTGGTTTGATCACTGTTTATAAGCCTTCAACCTGATCCCTACTTAAAGTCATCCAGCATGAGCTGACAGCTTCCTGGGAAGGAGCAGGCCAGGGCATGGTAGCAGTGAAGAGATGAGACAGCAAGGCCTGAATCAATGCTGTGACCGGTGACAGGGGCTCAGTTGACTTGAGACTTGGAAATGGGCCACATTTTGGACGCAAGTTCTACAGAGTGAGATGAGAGCAGGCTTTGGGCCAGGCTCACCTTTTGTGTTCTTGTCTACAGTACCTTATAGCTAACCTCCACCCATCCCATCTGCTCTCAGGCCCCCTGTCGTGGCTCACTGTCAGCCACTCGACAGGACCTTGCCTCCCTCTCTGACGCCTGCCCCAGGTTTATTCCTCGTATACCAGCTCAGACTGTCTTGAACATACCAAATTTGGTGAAGATTTGTGCAGCCATTTTCACAAACTGGAAACTAACAGAAACTTAGTTATATTCCATAAGTTATTAATAAACTAGAATTTTACTGGTTTCCATTCTAGGCACAAATCTCTCCATAAACACTCGGACTGGGGGACGAAAACACAGGGAACATTATTGGATGAAATCCCCATCAAAGGAGCATTGTAATACGGCTTTCCACGCTTTCTTCTAAGTCTACTCCGGAAGTGACTTGTGGTTTGCAGTCATCAAATAGGTCCCATCTTCCCTGGAGGCCCAGGACCACTTCTGTCCTGCCTTGGCCCAGCCTCCCGCCTCCCTTCACATCCCCGAGGAAAATGTTGGCACGGTTGATGATGGAAAAGTGGTTCTTTGTTACCCGCTGAGCCTTTGGCCCTAACCCCATGACAGGGAAGTCCTGGGAGACAGGCTGGACCACACAGAGTGAGTTGCCTGGCCAGTTCTGGGATGACATGGCCTTGAACCGAAGGCAACTCTGCCTGTTTCCCGGTGCCCAAACCCAAGTCTTGGCACTTGCCATCCTGGGGAGATACAAGGCTCACCTACCTGGGACAGAAGAAGATAAAGAGGGATGGACAGCAAGAGAGGTCCATGGTCCCCAGTGCCCAAAGGGGGTCAGGCCAGAGGCAGTCCTACACTGGGCAGCTGTGAGTGAGGAGGGACAGGACAAGACCTGGGGAAGGAGCAGGAGAGCCAGGCCTTGCCCACTATTGCTTCTTGATGAGAAAGGGGAGGATGCTGGGGTCTTTGCTGAGGGGCTGATGAGGATGCTGGGACTGAGACTGCCAGCCCTGTCGCCCACCCGGGACCCTTGGATTTGACTAGTCCCACCAGGGCTCATTCCCCCAAGCAAGGGGATCTCTGCTGGGACCCATCCCTGGGGCACCCAGGGAAAGCAGGAGCAGCCCCCCACATACCTAAGGGTGTGAGAAGAGCTGGAAAGGAGGGTGCGTGACTCCAGCAGCTGCCTTTCGGAAAGATTGTAGGTGTCCTCATGTAGAGACTGACTGCGGACTTGTGACCCATCAGCATGAGCAGGGATAGTCACATCCTCACAGGGTGGGGTGCCTTCCTCAGCCTCCATCTCTTATCCTGTAGCTTTTCCTGTACCATGGACTCGGGCTTGGGGCTGCTCACGGTCAGGCTCTGTGGGGAGAGAAGAGGAATAGGAGAGACAGGACAGGAAAGGGCAGGATAGAATAGGAATAAGGTGGGGACAGGGCAGGAAGGGTTAGGTAAGGTTGGGTGGAGTAAGATAGAATACTCAAATGGAACCAGGATAGAAGGAGTGAGGTAGAATATATGGGATGAGATGGGATGGCAGTAGACAAAATGGGATAGGGTGGGATGAGATGGGAGAGGAGAGTCTCGGCTGGCATAGGACGTGACAGGGAAGAGACAGCAGAGGAGGCACAGCAGAAGCGCCCGCATCATTAGCTCACCTCTCTCCATCATTTTTTGGGTGGGAGCGTGCCTGCTGAGCACTGGCACGCACCGGGCATGGGGTGATCCCCGCTTATTAGATGCACTTGTCACAGCAGGAGTAGAAGAAGTTGTTGCTGACTCACTTGACCATTGCAGCACCTCAGAATGCAGAACCGCCAAGATCACCCATCTCACAGATGGAGAAACTCAAGCCCAGAACTGTGAGAAATGGCCAAGTCTGCCCCGCTTGCCTCAGGGTAGCAGAATCCTGCAGGAGTGCGAGAGCTCGGCTCAGAGCGTGGGCTTGATCTTCCAGATAACTAGAGCAGGATCCAAAGGAGGTGGGGACTGTGCAGGTGTGGATGCCCAGGGGCGTGGGGGAGGGACAGAAGAACTGGCAGAATGGGTAGTCAGGAAACTTACCTGCATGAGGGGGTGAGCTTCCTGGACATTGGGTGTGGAACGAACAGGGCCCCCGGCAATGTGGCTGGAGGCAGCACTGCCCGTTGGGGCTCGGGGCTTACATCCCAGGCAGACTCCTCAGTAGCTGGGTGACCTTGGGCAAGTCCTTTCGACTGAGCCTCCATGTCCTCATCTGGTAAATGGGGCAGTGGTGGCAGTCAGTGGTAATGTCCGATGTGTGTACAGCTCAGGGTCATCACTCGGCCAACAGGGGCACTTATTGTTGAGCCAAAGAGTGATGACTGAGCTCAGGGTGGAGGTGGAGGTTAGGCCTTCCATCTCCACGTGCACCAAAGACGTTTACTCCATGTAGTTACACCAGCAGAGGGAACAGCAAGGCTCTACCTGTATGGCAGCGCAGGAGGGAAGCACCTTGAGTTTTCATACAGGGAGTTTCCATCAGAGGAGACCTTGACCCAACAGTGAAGCTCCTTCTCTCACACATGGGAGGATCTGCTTGATGTGTCTCAGCTCTGTTACTTTCTACCATAGACAAGTCACAGGTCCTCTCTGAACCTCAGTCTTCTCATCTGTAAGATGAGTTGCTTTGAGAGTTATAGAGAGTCTTTAAACAGAAACTATTGGTATTAATTTTACCTGGGGAGGCAAAATAACCACAGTGGAGAGAGCACAGACTTCGAATCAGAGAGGTTGAGGCTCAAAATTTCCTGCTCCCCAGGGCAGCCTTGGGCCAGTATCACAGCCTTTCTGTATTGAGTGAGTAACTCAGATCTAAGGCATGTGAAGTCCTTATGTGGTAAGGACTTAAAACACAGTCACTGTTTTTATTACCGCCTGTCTGTTCCACTCTCAGCCTGAACCACACCCCAGCCTGACCTTGCCCATATCTCCTCGGGCTTGTGTCCATGACTTCCCAGCCAAGCATGTCCTGAAAGCTGTCTTTGTGGGGCAGGCACCCAGGCCCAGCCACAGCGCTTGTCTCATCAGTGCCACTGCCATAAACAAGAGCCAGGCGGAGCAGGTAAACACCCACTCCCCGGTGGCCCTGGAGGCTGCTGGCCTCACAGGAGGTCAGTTGGAGGGGCAGCCTGGTGTTATGGAAACAACAGGGCCGGGCAAAGAGCAGCCACCAAGATCCTTGACTAGTGGCAGAGGGGCTGTGTCCCAGCTTCCATCTCCTTTGCCCTCCCAGCCACCACCCTGCCCTAGGCCTGGCCACTACCCTTCCCCGGGCCCACAGCTCTTCCTCCAGCTCAGCAGTGACCCCCCGAGTGAGCACCTGCCTCTCAGGGCCCCTAGCTGGCCTCACCCCAAGTGGGATCCCAGGGGCAGTATTGGCAGCAGGACACCAGGCACCTCACGTGCAGCCTCTTGTTCAGTACCCACATGGTTCCAGGTGACAAGGGCAATCGAGACCAAGACCCGGAGCCTCCAGCAGGCAACTCGCTTAGCCCCAAATCATAGAGCTGGCAGAGACAGAGCTGGGATTGCACCCA